ACATTTCTTCTGAGGAAGTTGTGAATTTTTCATTATGTTTTAACCATATAACAATAACATGGGAAATTAAGGATTGCAAGAAACACAGAAGTACACGATTTAATTCAGGTAATCATAATTTTATTGGAAAGGCCATTTTGCAAATGTGGACACCACTTCTCACCCCTTTTAAAACCATTTCAGTGGCTCCTGGGTGGCTCAGTTGGTTAAGTGTCCGACTTCGGCTCAGGTCATGATCTCAAGGTTCGTGAGCTCAAGCCCCGTGTCGGCCTCTGTGCTGACAGCTCAGAGCCTGGAGCCTGCTTCAGGAGTTCTGTGTCTTCCTTTCTCTGCCCCTCGCCTCCCCTGCTTGTACTCTGTCTCTCTCCCTCAAAATAAGTAAACATTAAACAAACTTAAACAAAACAAAAAAACCAATTTAGATCTCTAGCGGAGGGAAAACAGGAAGGAAGAAGTTAGAATGTATTTCCAAATGTCCTAGAATTTCAGTGGTGGTATTTCCCTTCACAAATAGCATTTTGGCCTCGTGCAAAAAATGATACTAGAGATATTCACAATAGAAAGTGTTGTGTGTGGCCATGTAGGGGGTGAGTTTGACATCTGTTCAGGTGTGTTCTGGTCAAACCACTGAAACAAGACTCTTGACTTGAGTATCTCGAAACCAAGAAAATGAATCCAGCTTAATTTACCTGAGACTAGGCTTATTCTTAGATTAGCTTTCTGTCTCATGGTATTGTCATAAAAACTCAGTGCAAAGTTTAAGTACTTCACTATCCTAAGAGGTTGGGTGGGGGAGGGAAAAAAGAAAAGTGATCGGAAGGGAAGGAAAGGATTGTAGTAGAGACAAGGAAGACAAAATTCAGTGCTACAATTTCCTCATTTATAACTGTTATTTGTCCGAATTTTTTGATCTGCACATGGAAGAAGCACAAACTGTCTTAAGAAGAAAGGAAAACATATTGACTTACATACCTGTCAAGTCCAACGGTTCTTATTGGCCTGGCTTGATCACATGCCCGAAGCAGTCCTCATGGCCAGGGGAATGCGAAACTCTCATGGGCTGTCCTGAGATTTTGGGTCCATCTTTTGTACCAATTGTTGGGATTGGTACCTAAACTGGAATTAATAGAAGGAGGGAAAATGGGATCAATTGGGAAAAGAAGAGTGCTGGGCAGGCAAACACATGCCCAACACTCTCGTCATAAATGATGATCATATGGAAGGGGCCTTATGGTGACCCTTTTTTTTCTTTAAATGACAGTCTTTTTTTTTTTTTTTAAGTTTATTTATTTATCTTGAGAGAGAGAGAGGGAATGAGAATCCCAAGCGTCTCTGTGCTGTCAGTGCAGAGCCTGGTGCTAACTAACTAATCTCACTAATCTTGAGGTCACAACCTGAGTCCGAATCTAGACTGAGCCGCCCAAGTGCCTCTTGGCTACTTCTGCAATTGCAGAGTTTCTCAGAGTTTTTCCGTGCCTAATGTATGTTAGCCTCCTCTCTCGACTCCTACATGGAGGTTTTTTAATTTATACTCATCTGGAACTACTGGAGAAATAAGTATACTATGGAAAAGTTGGAGCTGAAAGGGATATACTTTCTTCAGTCATCTGCTTAAAAATTTTTTTTATTAGACTCCAAGAAAGATAGCAACTTGGCCTTTTTCAGAACGGGATGGGCCTGTATTTGAGATTCGTTGTTCTAAGAGGCGGATTACAGTAGGTGGCAAGAGCTTATGATACCTTGGAAAATATGTTGCACGTGATTTTTAAATTCTGTATTGTAATTTATTTCACATGCTCTGATTAAAATACTTGCATCCTGAAACTGTAGCTCCTGGGGTCCTTCTCCCCTTTATCTCAAGTTCCTTTCCTCCTCGTTTGGTTTCCTTTTATATGCCCCTGGGAACTCGGAGCGTGCCATTTCAGCTCTGTCCCCGCTCTGTGGTCCGTCCGTCGTCCCTTCCCTGCAGACCTGCGTTGCTAGACCGACACAGCTCTCTGTGTTCTCTTTCCTGTGTTCGTGCTGCCGAAAGTCGGCTGAAGAGGAGCGTAGAAACTCGTGGACTTCCTTCTCCACTTGGCTGGGACCTGCAAAGAATTCTTTCTCGGCTTTCTCTCCATTCCTCACCACGTTTGCCCTTTCCCTCCAGCTTCCCCGGAGGCATCTGAACCTTCACTTTCAGGAGTAATTCCGCCTCCTGTTTGGGCCTGTCGCCCACTTCCCAAGTAGCTCTTGTAAATCTGTCTTACTCACACTTTGCTCTCTGCTTCTTGCGATAAGAGGGAGAAGGAAGAGGTGGGTGTCTCCTTCCCTCCCCTGGGTTCTAGATGCTCGTCTTTCCTGTTTGCTCTGAGACTCTGCGCCCTTCTCTCATGCTTGTTCCCTTGAGCCGTGCCGCAGCTAGGTCCCGCCTGACTGCTGCGTGCCTGGTGCTGGGGTGGGAGCCCGGAGGACAGCAGGGACAGCTCCCTGTCCTCAGTCTATTTATATAGTACTGGGACAGACAGAAATCCTGGAAAAACCCCACCCCGCGCAAATAGCTGATGTCCAGCCGTGGTGTGTGCCTTGAGGAACGCGATCAGGAGGGTCTAATCCAGTTCTGGAGCGCAGGGAAGCCGCGGCAGGCACTTGCGGAGGGCGCTACGCGCAGGAGTTAATCAGGGAAGGGAGAGAAGTGGTTTCGCAGGCCGAGGAACCAGCATGTGAGCAGGGCCCGTGCCGTGAAGGAACACCGCGTTTCTGGGAAGGCCACCGTGGCTCCTGTGAGGACACCGGGAAGGAGGTGAGACGAGATGGTGCAGGGCCTCCTCGGCTTGTAAAAAAGGGGTTTGGTGTCAATCCAGAAGCTCCGACCTGAATTAAGCTTGTTCTCTGTGTTGTGTGCATTCCTCTGGTTCCTCGAGCCCCTTCCTTCACTTCCTGCTCAGGTTCTCCCGTTGGTGCTGTACGCCCTCTGTTCCTTGGAAGAGTGGTTTCATGCTGGGTCTCTTTGCTTGGCGCCTGTTGCTTGTGCGGGGGGGAGGGGGTTCTGCCCCTCCATTGTTGATTCCCGTGCACAAATTTCTGTCCATTTGTTTCTTGACCTTTCTGTGACTTTCGACACATTTCTTTTTCTTCCTTTTTTTCCTTAAGTTTATATATGTAATCTCTACATCCATTGTGGGGCTTGAACTTACAACCCAGAGATCAAGAGTCCTGTGCCCTTTAGACTGGGCCAGCCAGGCACCCCTCGGCCCATTTCTTCTTTAAAAACACTGTTCTACTTTGGCTTTTTCTGCCTTATGCTCTAGGTTTTTCCTCTCCCTTAACATCTAGGACTTCTTAGACTCTTTGGGGGGCTCTTTACCTTGTATGTTGCTGTCTCTAGAGCTGTTTAATCTCCTCTCTTTTGACCTTGCACTGTCTTCCTGGACACTCATCTCCTCGGTTGGAGTTTTAGCTGCCATGAATAAATCCTGTTGCCGTTGTGTATACCTGGAGTTCTGACTTCTGAGTTCTAACCCTTTGTTTACAGCAGTTATTTATTGAGTATCTACTAAATATCAATAACTGGTTAGATACTCTGTGGTATAATAAATTGGTTTTTGTCTCTGGTTCCAGACACAGAGCTCTGGAAACCTTTGGAATTTCCTGAGTGCTGGGAGTGTCTTCTGTTATGCAAAATTAGCCCCATTAGATTTTACCTGAGTTTATGCTAATGAAGCGACTTTTAGCCCCTCACTCGCGAAGGAGGGACTGAAGATTGACTTTAATCACCTGGGCAGTGATTTAATGAGCCATGTCTGCTAAAGCCCCTTATAAATATGCCAGGATGGTGAGGTTTGGTGAACATTTAGATGTGTGGATAGGTGGGCACAATATTTCACAGAGGACGAGAGGGCATGGATGCTTGTCAACTCCCGTCCCCCATACTTTGCCCTGAGTTTCTTACATTTAGTTGCCTTGCCCCAGAGTTGTATCCTTTATAATAAAACTAATCACAAGTATGATGAAGTTTTGGGGTGATGGAGGGGTGGTCCCAGAACTGACAGCCAAGAAAGAATTCTTAAAGGCATCTTTGGTGCACAAAGGTGATTGTATTAAAGCACAGGGACAGGACCTGTGGGCAGAAAGAATTGCACTGGGGTTGTGACAGGTAACTCATTATATACCCTCAGGTGGGGAGGGGGTCAGGGATAGTGTAAGTCTCTAAGGTATTTTGGAAGCAAGGTTTCCAGGACCTTGAGCAGCTGGCTGTTGCTAGGGAAATGCCATTTATTACCATTTAATAAAACCTCAGTCATGAGATCCTTCAGATGTGTATCAGGGGGCCTTAAGCTTGGAGTAGGATTGCCGGCATCTTGGGAGAGTTGAGATAAAGGAAGTAGACTTACAGGATCCTCGAAGTTGAGATAATGTTAAGCTAAGATTCTTTTTTGCCCCCAGCAAAGTGTCATTATCGCGGCAGCTGAGCTTCTAGAGGGAGGTCACTGCAGGTTTCAAGGACGTGTCAATGGGCTGTAGGCAGTAACGGAATTTAATTTTTTCAATTGCGTTAGTTTCCCACATCACCATAACCAGCATTTAAACCCCTTTTCTTTGTTCTTGGGTCACCAGGAATGTCTGAGGAATATCACACATATTCCACCTGGCTGGAGGGGGCGGGAGGGGGGCGGCGGAGTCGGTGCTGTTAGCCAGTGTTTTGCCCTCAGCTTGCGCCACACTCCCTCATCAGGCATAGTGCTTTCCTGAGTTTGGTGACTAGTTCTAATGAATTACTGAACCTGGGGAGGGTGGCGGTCGTGGGAACACCCAAATTTGGAGTCCCAGCAGAAGTGCTGGCACTTTAGGGGGATACTCAAGACTTGGGGCTGGTGTCCGAAACGGGTCTGTGCTAATTCCAAGTAGACAGTGTCCGAATGGAATTGTAGGACACTGTGTTGAAGTCAGACAGCTGTTGTTAGAACCGATCGCCTGGCTGTACAGCATCTCGATCTCTCTGTATGGAATAGACTCAGTACCTGTCGGTAAGCCAGAGAGGTGGGCAGATGGTTGCAACGTAGTCATGCATGCTGGCAGCCTGGACCTTTTCTCTCTGATTCTGAAGTTGGTTGCTAGATTCTGTCAATTCCTCTGCCCCTGGAGCATCTTGTGAATTCATCTCTTTCTGTGGCCATCGCTGTTGTTTCGGCCCAGACTTCATCATTTTTCACGTTACCACTTGGCTTCTGCTGACTGGTTGGGCTTCTGGGCCTAATCCATTCGGTTTTTCCGACCCATTGTTGCCATGTGCCGCCTCACAAGAAAATCTTACCCTGTGCGTTCATCTTCTGTGGTTTCAAACTTTGGTTTCAGGACCTTTGTATACTCTGATAAGTTGCTGAGGACTTGAAGGAGCTTTTCTTTATGTGGGTTGTGTTTTTAAATCTGTCACTATTTGCCAGATTAGAAATTAAAACTAAGAAATGTACAAAGTATTTTATTAGTGTATCGAAAATATCTGTAATAAGCCCACTGCATGCTTACAGAAACAACGGACTTTTTATGAAAACTAGCTGTTTTACAAAACAAAAAATAATTTAGTGAGAAGAGAGCATCGTTTTACATTTTTGCAAACCTCTTTTAATGTCTGGCTTAATAGCAGACAGCTGGCTTTTCCTATCTGCTCCTACAGTTAGTTGGTTGCGAAATGTTTTGGTTGAAGTAGTTGAAAGAAATCTGGCCTTACACAGATATGCAGTTGGAAAAACTGGGAGCCTTTTGATGGCATTTTCAGAAAATTGTGTTTATTCTTTGATACTATACCAAAATTTGACACTGCTAGTTTCTTGAGGTTAGTGGCAATGCGGAATCTGAAATTATGTTAGTGAACTTTTCATACTCCGTTACAAAAACATCTATTAGTCCATCCTGCAGTTTGGATGGATATTTTACACCTTGGTGATTTTGTAACATCATGTATTGCTATTCAGAAAATATTAATTCACTGAGTTATGTAGATCTTCAAATGTTGATATGTTTCACGTCCCATTTGTTAATATTACCACCTATATTATTAGAAAATTTTCTAAATGTCAGGAAGAAGGCTAACTCAAAATGGCAGATACTAGTTTTCCAAATTCAAAAATTTTTGCTCAAAAGCTCAACTTTTATCATTAGTCAGAAGTTACTGCCCATTTTTCTCAAGGCAGTAGAGGCAATAGGCTCATTTCGTTTTTGAGGAACCATTTGCCAAGTACTTAAGTCTGAATAAGCATAGTTTTTCTATTGTTTTGCTAAGTTAAAATTGTGTTCCATGAAAAAAGTGGCTAGTTAAGCTTGCAACTCATTTGCACAACTATGTTTTCTTGAGACATCGGTCCTTGTCTGTGTGCCCTGGTAATGCTCTATGATTACTTCCCTCATAGTCACACAAATATTAAACACGTTTATTCAAGGGCTGAGATTTATTAATAGTTCTATCATTCCTAATGACTCATCAAGGACATTCTGTAGCAAAACTGATTTTTTTTTTGAGATAGCATGAGTTGGGGGAAGAGGCAGAGAGGGAGAGAGAACCTCAAGCAGGCTCCACAGGTCAGCACAGAGCCTGATGTTGGGGCTCAAACTCCCAAACTGTGAGATCATGACCTGAGCTAAAGTCAGATGCTCAGGACCCTGATTTTTTTTTTTTTTTTTTTATGAATGTATGGCAGCGAGGAATACATACACTTTGGTGCCACTGCTAAGGTGGCAGCAGTTTACCCAGCCTTGTTTTTGTATCACTGCAAACAGGTATACAATGAAAATAATGTCTGAGTACCATTATGGTAATAGTTTTGAGCTTTTAGACCCTTTGAAATAGTCTTGGGAACTCCAGGGGCCACCCTGAGAATTGCTACCTTATAAAACTTAAACCTTTGTACCCAGTTTAATTTTTTTATTTTTTAAAAAACTTAAAAAAAATTTCTTTCTAAGTTTACTTTTTGACAGAGAGAGCAAGCCGGGGAAGGGCAGAGACAGGAAGAGAGAATCCCAAGCAGGCTCCTTCCTGCCAGCACCTGGCCCAACATGAGGCTCCATCTCATGAATCCTGAGATGGTGACCTGAGCTGAAATCAGGAGTCAGATGCTTACCTGATTGAGGCACCCAGACCCCTCTTAATTTTTTAAATGTTTGTTTATTTATTTTTGTTTTTTATTTTTTAAAATAGTTTATTTTCAAGTTGGTTTCCATGTAACACCCAGTGCTCATCCCCGCAAGCGCCCTCCTCCATGCCCATCACCCCCCTTCCCCTTCTCCCCACTCCCGTCAGCCCTCAGTTTGTTCTCAGCATTCAAGAGTCTCTCATGGTTTGCCTCCCTCCCTCTCCCAAAGTATTTTTCCCCTTCTTCTCCTTCATGGTCCTCCATTAGCTTCCTCCTAATCCACCTATATGTGCAAACATCTGGTATCTGTCCGTCTCTGCCTGACTTATTACGCTCAGCATAACACCCTCTAGTTCCATCCATGTTGTTTGTTTATTTATTTTTGAGAGACAGAGACAGAGAGTGGGTAGGGGAAGGACAGAGAGAAAGGGAGACGCTGAATCTGAAGCAGGCTCCAGGCTCTGAGCTGTCAGCATAGCGACCAATGTGGGACTCAAACCCATGAACCATGAGGTCATGACCGGAGCAGAAGTTGGACACTTAACCAGCTGAGCCACCCAGGCACCCCAAGAGGAAAGCAATTTACATTCCTTTTGTGATTTAAATGTATTCATGTTAACGTATTGCACGTTGAATCTTTAGACCTCTAATTAAATGAAACATGTCAGCAAATAGGTGGTAGGAAGTATAGAGAGAGTCTCCGGGAGAGCCTCTGCTGTGTCAGACGTGAGATTATACTTAGGTCTAGCTCAAGGAATAAGCTGATTTCCTTTCTAAGTATACAAATGGTGCCTATTTTCCTAATCAGGAGACCCTCCTGGTGTCATCTAGATTTTGGGTTATATGCAGTTGGGTTCATCAGATAAGTGACCTTTACGTAAGTAATCAGAATTGCTCTTAGCTTTTATAGAGTTTGCTTTAGAATGGTTTCTGGTATTATCTGACTCACACCCATGACTTCACACACGCACAAGAATGTTTACTGAGTACCTGTCATGTCACGTGTGTTTTGCAAGAGGCTTTCCTATGTCCTTTCTAAAATTTTTCCTTTTAAAAAAAATTTTTTTTAAACATTTATTTATTTTTGAAAGACAGAGCATTAGCAGGGGAGGGACAGAGAGAGAGGGAGACAGAGAATCTAAAGCAGGCTCCAGGCTCTGAGCTGTTTGTCAGCACAGAGCCTGATGTGGGGCTCAAACTTACAAACCATGAGATAATGACCTGAGCTGAAGTCAGATGCTCAACCAACTGGCCACCCAGGTGCCCCTAAAATTTGTTTTCTGTAAAGCTGTGAGATAGATGGTAAATAACCCTTATGTTACAGATGAGAAAACCTCACATTTGCTATCATTTGTCATAATGAAAACATTACAAATGAAGCATAGGGTAGCTGAACTTACATAAAAAATTCTTGAATTACCACAAAAGTAGATAGGAATATTATAACATTATGAAATGAAATTTGGTATAAATGAGGATTTATCATGATTTCAGGACTTATACCTTTGAATTGTAATAAGGAGCAGAAATTGTTTGTAAAGGATCGTTTAAATACAGCCTAAAGTTCTTTTACATTTTGAGGGCCTGTAACTCTAAACAGGTGTAGCAGTGCTGGATTTATTAGGCAGTTATGCCTGTAATTCTTGCTCAGAAAATGAAATCTATAAACACTAGTATTGTGCTTATATTGGTTTTGTTATGAAATACATTACCTTTTAGATTTCTTTTCAAGTTTGTGATTTAGGCTACAAAACCATTAACTGGCATATAATTATGTTGTAAATTTGAATTAGATGGGCCTTTAGGCCCTGGCTTTGCTGGTAACTGTAACCTCCTATAATTGCGGTCAAGATGCAATCTAGATGCCCTTGGAAATAGACAATGGAGTCACAGTATCCTGAATAGTCTTTTGTCAGATTCAGAAATGTTAGAAAAGATCTAAATTGTAATGATAAAATGGCATTCACTGATCTGTTTTTGAGTTTGCTTCTTTGTGAAATTCCTAAACCTGATTTTTTTAAAAAAGTTTATGTATTTTGAGAGAGAGAGAGAATGTGCTCAAGCAGGGGAGGAACAGAGAGAGAAGGAGAGAGAGAATTCCAAGCAGGCTCTGTGCTGTCAGTGCAGAGCCTGATGTGGGGCTTGAAGCCACTCATCCTGAGATCATGACCTGAGCCGAAATCAAGAGTCAGCCGCTCAACCAACTGAGCCACCCAGGTGCCCTCCTAAACCAGATTAAGAGGCAAGTTCTAGGGGCGCTTGGGTGGCTCAGTCAGTTGAGCATCTAACTCTTGATTTCGAATCAGGTCATGATCCCAGGGTTGTGGGATCGAGCCTTGTCAGGCTTTGCACTGAGCGTGGTACTTGCTTAAGATTCTCTCTCCTCCTCTGCCCCTCTCCCCCATGTATGTGTATGCACACTCTCTTAAAAAAAAAAAAAAAAAAAAGATTTGTGCACACAGTGAGGGGTTGGAACTTGAAAGTGACATTTCAAAATGTAGCCACTAAATACATATTTTTTTAAGTCTTGAGGTATATAATTGGGCAGGATTTATGGTTATTTCATGATTATATAGCAAAGGGATTAAAAATAGTAATTTTGAAGCAAAACTGCTCAGCTATTGACTGCATAACCATAAGCCAGCTATTTCACTTTGTTGTATCTGTTTCCTCATCTGTATAATGGGGTTGATTATAGTTCTTACCTTGTAGGGTTGTTGTGAGGAAGTTAAAGCATCTAGCACAGTGCTTCACCAAATACTAAGCGCTTAGCATAAGAAATGACGGTTATCAGCACCATCATTATTTTCTCATCGTTTGTGTTCCAATCCTGGATTTATGGTTTAAGACAAAAATGAAGGTGTTACATAGTCTTGTTGCCAGTTGATTCTGTGACCTTTTTAAATTTCTCAACTGTTCTTTTTGTCTTGTGGAAGGTTGGCATTTGCCTTAAGCTTGGTAGAGAGGGGAAGACCAGAAGCATGGTTGGTTTAAAGTGCTTTCATGTACTTAAAAAATGATTAGATGTAAGAATTCTTGGCCCAGCAACAAAAAGAAACAACCCAATTTTTAAAATGAG